CAGTAAGGAGAAGTTACTGCAGAAGAGACAGTAGCCACAATCAGAACCTGCACTGAAGAGCCTCAGAATGACACAGATGTTCACTCAAGGCTAGAGGGTATGTTCACATTCTCTCCCCCTATAGTATCTTGTTACTGTAATTGCCATCTTTTGGGGCTCCTTGGGCAAAGCTGATTCCACTTCCTGCCTGTCTCCTTGGTGCCAGGCAGAGGGTCAACCACAGTGTCCTTCTCCATAACTGGGTGCTGGGCCCTACTTCCTACCCACATCTCCTCACTCTTGAACAAGCCCTTTGGATTCAGCAATCTGGCCTTGGGTCACAGAGTTTAGGTTCTACATCTAGCCTCTTTCCAAGGCAACACAAGTACCGCTCGAGCTGGAAGTCCTCCGTGAGTCTCACTAACAGGGACATGCCCCCCCATTGGTCCTCTGCCCTTATATGTCTAGCCCTGGCAGGAAAGCCTTCTCACCCCCATCTCTGGGCTCCGCCTGATCCCCTCCTCTGGACCCTGTCCTGGCCCAAAGTAAAGGGGAGCCTGAGGCCTCAGTGTGAATGTAGCCAACATGGCAACTCAGCCAATTCAGGCCTAATCCCCGGAAGAGAAGATCCCAGTTTTTCTACCCTCTGGTCACTGCTATAGCATCAGTGGATTTGGCATTCTATCAAAAGAAATTACCTGCTTTCTTTTCTCCTGTTCCAATACAAATCAAACTTTTGCATGGTGAAAACTGTAGAAAACATGTGTGTTTTGTCTGCCTTTTTTTTTTTTTACAAAGTTTATTTTTACATCATTTTGCACATTTTTTTTTCCATCTCGAGTGTAATCCCCGCGGGTTTCCCACCACCAGATCACCCCTGTGCCACCACCCTAGTCCCATGCATTTCCCTCCCTCCCCCCACCCCCCCATCCCGTTTTTGATCCCATTCCCCACTCTGGTATATGGTTGTTCATTATTTTTGTTATTTTCTCGCCTGGTCCATTATACTCCTGCTATGAGTGAAACCATCCGGCATGATCTTTTCCAGCTCCATCCAAGTTGCTGCAAAAGACATGTGTTTCTCTTTTTTGGTTGCTGAGTAATATTCCATTGTATATATGTACCACATCTTTTTTATCCAGTCATCTACTTTTGGGCATTTGGGCTGCTTCCATGTTTTTCCAATTGTAAATAAAGCAGCAATAAACATGGGGGTACAGGTATCTTTTTCAATCAGTGTTTTTGTGTCTTTTGGATAGATACCTAGGAGTGGGATTGCTGGGTCGTAGGGAAGCTCCATGTTTAGCAGCTTGAGGAACCTCCAGACAGTTTTCCATAGTGGTTGTACTAGTTTGCATTCCCACCAGCAGTGCAGGAGAGTTCCTTTTTCTCCACATCCTCGCCAACAATTGTTGTTGCTAGTTGTTTGAAGATGTGCCATTCTCACTGGGGTGAGGTGGTATCTCATTGTGGTTTTAATTTGCATCTCCCTTATGACGAGTGATGTTGAACATTTTTTCATATGCCTGTTGGTCTGCCCTTTTTTTTTTTTTTTTTTACTCAACACTATAAGAATGTGTCTCCATCCTGTTGCCTAGTTTCTAGTGGTCTGGTGGCTGCATAATATTCCATCAACCTGATATGTCATGATTGACTTAACCAGCTCTCTATTTTTAGATACCTAGTTAATTCTAAATTGATACTAAAATGCTGCAATGAGATTCCCCCCTGCCCCAATTTGAATTATTTTCAAGAAGAGCTTTTCAGAAATGGAATCCATGAATCAAAGAACAGCATTTCAAAGGCCCTTAATGCATAGTGCCAAATTAAATTCAGCTGGGTATTTTTTGCTAATTTATATTGCTCTAAGCAATATAAAAGTATTTCGTTTCAGCACATTGTCACCTATATTTGGTATCGTGATAGCTAACATTTTTGCTAATTTGAAATGTAGGGTGGTATCTTATTTTTTTTTAAAAAATTGTCCTTCCTTAATCACTGGTGGGGTTGGAAGTCTTTCCTTATGTGTGTTACTGGTCACGATCTCTTGTGTTGACAACCCAGAATTTGTTCTGGTGGCCCAAACCCTGTTTAGGTATCCTGCACTTTTTAAAAAAGATTTATTTATTTATGCATACACAACTGGGGTACAAGCCAGAGGTGCAGGGGCGGTGAGAGGATTCACCAGAGACAGAGTGGGGAGCAGAACAGGCTGACTGACAAAATACACTGCTGACAAAATACTCTGCTCAGAAGAGGTCTGCCTTGCCATGTGGGTCACCTCCGGGTTGGGGATTGAACTCATGCTGAAGTGGCCTTAGCTTCTTAGTGCTGTGCTTTAACCTGCTGCACCACCAGGGAGGACCGGTTTACTGCACTTTTAACCAACTCTCCTTCTCCTTTGTTCTTTCTCCTACAATGTCCTTGACACACTTAATCTCTCCATTTGTCTGTTATTTAACCAAAATCTAAACATGTGCATAGGAATTTATAGCCATGAATTAAGAGGCTGTCACTTGCAGGTGAAAGCTGGAGTTCCAATACATACCCCTGTGTGCATTTTTAAGCCATGTGACATTAATTCACTTTTCCTCTCATAGTGTCTCTTTTCTGTTCTGTCAAAAAGAATATCACCACCTCTCCACATACTGCACAGTGTGATTTGAGCACTCGGGCCTGGTGAAGGAGGGATCAGCCGACTTTTTTTTATAAAAGGCCAGATAGTAAACACTTTCGGCTTATAGATCACGGCCTCTGTCACGTGGCTCAGTTCTGCTCTTGTAGTATAAGAGAAGCACAGCCAGTGATGTAAATGACTGACTGTGGGCTCACCCAGTTTTCCTTATAGATATTAAAATTCAATTTCATTTTTGTATACAAACACTATATTTACATATAACTTAGGTAAGCCATATATAAAAATAGTGTACATGACATCATTATGCCATAATCTATTATATAATATCCTCACATTTATAGGTTATCTAATAGCATATATGACACATAAATGTATAATTTTGTGATGAAAGAAAATAACTATAATTTTACTTTATATAATTTTACTGTATCACAATATATTGGGCTTCTTTTTCAACCATTTTAAAATGTGAAATGTGAAACCATTGCTCATGGGCTCTATACAAACAGGCAGCAGGCTGGATTTGGCTCATGACTTGTAGTTTGCCAGCCCCTGTTCCAAGACCCTATCTAGGAGAAAACCTCATGGAACAGTCAAAACAAATAGGTCCACTGGACAGGTAATAGCACTGAAGATGATTTTTAGTTGTGAAAACAAAGAACAAAGGCAGGGAATGACTTGCCCAAGGACATGCAGCCAGCTGGCTCAGATCTGCCAGACGCCAAATCCTCCAGCAGTATCTGCGCACCTGGGTCCTCCCCAGCCACGTGACCAGGCCTGCAGGGCACTGCTGCTGCCCAGGCCCTGGACGGCTGGGCCAAGGCCACATCAGCACTAACAGATAGCAAACCCAGTTCTCTGGCTTCTACAAAGAGACCCTTTATCTCCAGCCACAAAGCTGTGTATTTGTAGGATCAATTTTCCACACTCATGGAGACATTTAGCGGTACATAGACAGGGGTTGAACTCTGCCACAAACATTCTGCAAAAACTCAACTTCTGAGCCTCTCCAGTTACGGACTTTCTCGCTCATCAAGTAGGACTGCAGTCACACCTCTCTTTTTAGTTTGCTTTTGAGGAGTTCTCACTCTTAGAGGACAAGAGACCAGCAACAATCACCAAATCACCACTGTCTGAAACAGGAGCCCTTTCCACCACAGGAGCCTCAATGGTCAGGTGGAAAGAGAAACATCATAAGGGAAGTCCCAGAGTTGACTCTGCCTGCCACACATCACCTGGCCTTCCTGAGGTTCAGTTTCTCAGCTGAAAAGAACATCATCAGCTCCAGCATGAGAAATATATTTACATGTACTGTATAAACGGTAGAGTGCTACACACACACTGGTTAGCAGCTGTCATCAGGCTCGTGCAAGTTCTGGAACTGGGATCATGACTTTCTGAGCCCCATTCAAAAGGCGAAGCTCATCATCTTCTATTAAGGCAATGTTTTTGGATCCCCCACCCCCCAAGTCTGCATTTCTTTCCTGCATGAATGGGAAACTGAATTCATTATGAATTCCCCTGGCACCAGCACAAATCCAAAGTGTATGTGGTTTGAAGTGACAAATGATAGGTTGCTATTGCTGGGGTTTGAGGGGGCTGGCAGCACACAAGAGTAGGCCCCACCTTCCTCAGCACTGGCACCCACTAAATGGACGGAGGCTGCCACCCACCTGCGCTTATCCCTGGGCCTCCCCAGTGTCAGGCCTCGGCCAGCCCAGGGCCTCGGTCAGACGCACACCCCAATGTGCCTTTCTGGCCACACAGTCAGGCAGGCAAGAATTCTTTCCTTGGGTTTGATCAGTCCCTGCTCAGAGCTTAAAAAGACCCTGCCTTACCTGGTCCAACCTGTTCACTTTACTCATGGCAAAAGTGAGACTCATACAGTAAAGGTGACTGGTTCAAAGTCATAGACACCCTGGTCTTAAAATTTGGAGACTTTGGTGAAGGTTCCTATGGCAGGTGATCTTGATCAAACTGTCTTTATTGAAAGATGATTAATTCTGCTCTCAATGCAAACTAAAATTATAAAGCCTCTTCAGGTCAACCTAGTATATTCACGACGCGATGCTCACAATTAGCAGTAGGACAGGAAGGTCATTACGATCATCTGCCTTTTGTCTAAGAACAAAGTGATGCTTGGAGGAACTAAATGACTTACAAGTTTACACAGCTAATAAATGGCACCTTCTGTTTCCAAATATTGTATTTTCTCTAGCAAGTATACTGCTCAAATCCCTCAGTAATGAAGCAGAATTAAAACTTGTCTTGTAAGGTTTATAGGATACATGTGAGCATATGCAGGAACTAAACACTCAGCAGCTTATGAGAACATTTAGGTTTTCCTCCACTTTCAGAGTGTCAGGAAGCGTGAGCTGCTTACCTGGGAGGCCAGTAAAGAGTCTTATGTGACTGCAGGCATCTGGAGACTTCGGTGGAGCTGAAGTCCACTTCCAGGCTCTCTCCCAGGAGATGGCAGGCCCCAGGGCCTCACAGCTGTTGGCTGGAGGCCACCATTCCTCTGTGCAGGCTGATGTGACTGCTGACTTCTCTCAGATTAACTGAGACAGAGCTACAATGGAAAGGGAAGTCTTGCGTTATTTTTTAATTCATTGTTACTTTTATTTATGGTATTTTATCTTATTTAGAGTGACATACCACTCTACATCACTTCTGCAGTGATAACATTAGACACATGTCCTAATCCAGCCTACACTCCAGGGCTTCTCCAATATAAGGATGTGGACACTGTGAGGTGAGGACAGGAAGGCAATTTGGAGGCTGGCCTCCCTCCAAGCCCTTTGTAACTCCAAACTCTTTGCTGATGCCCACAAGAGCGTAACTTTTATTTTATTTTATTTTACTTATGCATACAGAACTGGGGTACAGGCCAGATGCACAGGTGCGGTGAGAGGATTCACCAGAGACAGAGTGGGGAGCAGAACAGGCAGATAGACAAAGTACACTGCTGAGGGGAGCAGCAGGCAGGTCAGGAGAGGTCTGCCACGCCATGTGGGTCACCTCTGGGGCGGGGATCAAACTCATGCTGAAGTGGCTTTAGCTGCTCAGTGCTGTGCTGTAACCCACTGCCCTACTAGGGAGGGCCCAAGATTGTAACTTTTATATGTCCTGTTTTATCGAGAAGGCATTAAACTTCATGAAATTCACAGCTCACAAAAAATGGCAACACCATACATTCCACCCTAATTTATAGGCTCTGGTACTTCTCAGACATTTACTAATACTTGTTGATTACATTGTATTGTGGGTTTTTTAAATTTTATAAATATATTTTTTATATCATTCTTCACTTTGCACCTTTTTTCATCTCAGTTGTCATCCCCCTGGACTTCCCACCACCACTTCACCCAGGTGCCATCACCACAGTCCCATGTGCTCTTCCCACCCCTGTTTTGATCTAGTTCCCCTCCTGTCCCATACTTTATTAATGATAATGTTGGGTAAGTCCTTCTTCTTTGTTATTGTTACAGGGCAACCCCAATGTGAAATGGGTTGGCTTGACTCTGGGTCCCCACATGTATGCTTAAGAGGGACTGAGAGTGAGAGTCAACAGCAAGTACAAAAAGGGAGAAATGAAGAAAAGACTAAGAGAGAAAGGGCCAGATAAATTGGTGAGTGTGTCCTACTAGTTCTTTGACTGAGACCCCAACAGCATGCTGGTGGCTGACAAAAAAACAAGCACCCAAAGGCCCAGATGTCTGATTTTATACCAAGCCTGACTGCTTAACTCCACCCTCAAGTCCCAGCATCCTCCCTTTGGTGATGATGACATTATGGGAGTTGTAGTCCTGGTGTCTTGGATCTCTCTTGTCTGAGGTAGGATTGGGTTCTATGGAAGCTGTTTGTGGAGTTTGTTCAGAGAGTCCTCTCCCCCGACATTATCAGTTGTAACAGCATGTGTGTTCACTGGCAAAATGTTAATATTATTAACACATATTAACTAAGATAGGTATTTAGTCTTTCAGACAATATATGATGGAAAGTAGACTTATACTCACTCCCTGCATTTCTAGATCCTCACTATGCAGCCTCCTCAGGAAGAAACAAAAACATCCACATTCCTGCCTCAAAGAAATCAGACAGACTTTTGTTGCAGAGAAGGCACCGGGTAAGAGTGGAATGCTCCAAAGATAAGCACTAGACAAATTTTTGTGTTTTAAATTGTGAGCCTGCAAGGAAAAAGATCATGGCAGCTATTTATTGAAGGATGAGAGAAAGAGAAGGACGGGAAAGTAGATCAAGATGGTGCAAATAAGGAAGGGACATTCTTTGCATGTGTGCATGCAGGTAATATATAGCACACAAAAATGTATGTAAACATGTAACATTACATTATTTGGAGATTATTTACCTATGATCACATGAGTTAGGAACATAATAATATAATAATATAATAACATAATAACAATATAATAATATAATAACATAATAGTATCAATATGCATGTGACATAATAATCTGATGGTCTGCATTTCAACGATCATTTCCATTTCCACTGGTTCCTAAACAAATACTTTCCTATTAATATACCCACTTACTGGCTCAAAGATGTTCATGTTTAAAAAAGATTTATTTATGCATACAAGAACTTGGGTATAGGCCAGAGGCATCACCAGAGACAGAGTGTGGAGCAGAACAGGCAGATTGACTGAAATACACTGCTGAGGGGAGACAGGAGAGGTCAGCTGAGCCATGTGGGTCACCTCATCGGCTAGGGATCGAACTTGTGCTGCAGTGGCTGTGAAAGCTTTATAGTGCTTCTCTTTAACCCCTTGTTTCACCAGGGAGGGCCCTAAAGATGTTCATTTTAGAGGAAGCTGGTGGCGTCTGCATTCATTAATGCAATAGGCAATTATTTGTGCCTACTCTCTTTCTGTCATGACTAGGACCAGTGACAGAGACAGACTGTGAGATCATTCAAAAGAGACCACTTAAGGTGTGACAAGGATTTAAAGTGGTTGTAAAGTATGAAAAGGGGCATCCCAGCAATGTAGAAGGAATGGTGTTCTTTGACGGTAGAGGGTGGTAATACCTGATCTGATGGGAGTGTTCTAATATTAGCTCAATTAAAAATAAACAACATTAAAAAAAATTGATACTGTCAACAGCAATAAGTGTTCCAAGGAAGGAAGTTTACCTAATAGAGAACAGAAATGTAATGGTGCATTTTCTCTTTAACTGGACAGAAGCTAAGGAATGATAGTCTATAAACTCTTCTACCCAACATTTCTGCTTCTTTCCTTCTCGATTTTTTGAATCAAACTCTTCACTTTATATTCTTTAGCTCAGTGGGAGTTGTGGTCTTCTAAAATTTTTTGAATTGGGTATGTTCATAGGCACAGCATGTCAATTAGTCCAAGCTTCAAAATATCTAAGGACAAGTTCTCACTACATTGAAAGGCCTACTTTGTATTTCAATCAGTCTAATGATTAGTCATTTCTTCATTGTCTTGAACTGAAATCTACTCTAATTTTCATTTCAAAGTCTTAATTCTATCCTCTTGGGTCATGCATGTCTTCTACACAAATATTTTTTTATTAATGGATCATAAACTCAATTTTGAAATTATATACCAGCATTATATTTAATAAAATTAGGTTAGGAGAGGGGAGGGGAGGGTAGAATGCAAAAGAATAAAAAATACCAGAGTCCATACAAACCTGTTTGAGAGAAACAGGTTTTGGTTTTCTAAGTTTTCTTTTAGCCATTTATAGACTTATGGCAATGTGTACTGGTTTGTTATACAAAATGAATTTATTATTATGGGTTGAAAAGTTTGCAAAATGAATTCCTTCAGATAGCAACTATGTCACAAAACTGTATCATCCACCTTCTGGATCAGCATCCCCTTAAATATCTCTCACCTGTCTTTATTTCTTTCCCTATATTTTGGTCTCTTTCCCCTGACTGTGCTCTCTCTTGAATGTTCCTCTTACAACAAAATACACAGAACCTGCAGCACTGGAGATAAAGGGCAGGGAGACAGACAGATTCTCTGCTTCATTGTTTGCTAAGATCTCAGAAGCCTTCAGCAGTGGTGAACAGAGGCCATTGACCTTATCACTAGAAGTTGTTTTTGAAACACAAACACTAGGATTAAAAAAATAAGCAAATGTCTTTGTAGTTGTTCACTGTTCTCATTTTTACTTCATTACATTTGCTTCTCTCTCTCTTTCTATTGTTTCTTTCCCCCCTGATCCCTTATGTTCCTGCTATGAGTGAAGCCATCCAGCATTTTTCTTTTCCTTTCTGGCTTATTTCACTAAGCCTGATCCCTCCCAACTCCAACCATGTTGCTGCAAAAGGCATGAGTTTATCGTTTTTAATTGCTGAGTAATACTCCATTGTGTATGGTATGGGGTGGAAAGGGAATGGGATAAAAACCGGGGTGGGAAGAGAGCACAGGACTATGGTGATGGCACATGGGTGAATTGGTGGTGGGAAGCCCACGGGGGCTACAACTAGATGGAAAAATATATAAAATGAAGAGTAATATAAAAAAATAAATAAATAAAAAGAGATTAAAAAAAAAAGTAATGACTATCTACTCTATCAGTGCTCAGAGTAGTGCCAGAAGATAGAGAAAGACCGAGGTCCTGAGCATGGCAGGTCCACCCATCCCTAGCTCACGGAATCTAAGAGCTATGGACTATCATTTCCACCTCATCTTACCATAAGAAAACTGAGGCTCAAAGAGACAGATAAGGATAAACTCAATATACTTAATTCTGTCCTAAAACTTTCAATCAATGGTCATCAGACAGCCTACCATGTGAGGTAGGAGTTAATGGTGGGAGCTCTCAACATGGCACTATTTTCAAGATGCTCTCACATCCCTTACACCAACCAATAATACCTGAGAACAGGTGATACTATTCCCATCTTCCAGGCGAGAATGTAGGCCCAGGGAGATGAAGCTTATTGTCCAAGACCACATAGCAGAGGGGACAGTACAGCTACCTCTGCACTGGATCTTAATTCTAAATCCAGTGCTGTTTTGGTAGGCCTCTCTGCCTAATGCTAACAGCTTTGCCCAGACTTACTGAAGCAAACCATTCATTATCTTCCCTGGTTCAGGCACAGATGAGATTCTAGGGTGCTAATGCTCTACCCCCTTTTCCAGTTATGGCCAAAATGTCCTTAGCCTTTGTGACTCTAGGATAAGATTGATTCTTTCCATAAATGGCCATCAAGTTTAGGCCAAGTTGTAAACATTATTTACATCAAGCACAGAGAGCAGCTGAATCTGTGGTCAGGGTGCCAGGGAATATATGAGAAAATCAGGCAGCCTTAATCTCTGTAGCATGTGGAAGGAAATAAAGACCACCTTGACTGATGGCTAACCAGATATTTCTGAAGAGGATTAAGTCAGTCTGCGGCAGAAATGGCTGGGGAGCCAAGGTGAAGAGAACTCATTGAGGTATGGCCTTCAAAGTTTAAACTTCTAATCTCTAAGGACCAGAGTGACTTCGTAAGGAATTCAAGAAGAACGCAATGCAGTCAACATATAATAGGATCCTAAAATCCTAAGCATATTTTCCAAAGGCCAG